CGTCTCTTGAGTGTCTGGTGCGATGTGATGGGTGCCTGGCCTGGGAGAGGGAGCATGTCCACTCAGAGGGACCCACAGTCCCAGTGGGACAACCTTGATTTCCACTTCTTGGTCTTTCTCACTAGTGTTTCCTCACATGCCTCAGAGAAGGTGCAAACCTTCTCCTCACATGCCTTAAAGAAGCTGCAACCCTCTCCTAGACACGTCAAGTAAGGCAGTACTCCACACTGTGACCAGACCCCGAGGAGATTCCCTGCGTCTGAGGTTGTGGCACTGTGCTCATGTGCCAGCCACCAGCAGGGTCTAGGAGTGGCTCAGCTTGAGGTAAGGCAGTGACAGGTTCACGCTGGATAGGAGCACTTGGACAGCTGGGTGGCATGGAGGGAACCCCCTGAAGTGTTCGGCGCATGTAGGCCTGGTAGGAAGGGACGGCCATGGTCCCTGAAACGCAGGCTGCCGAGCGGGAGGTGGTGGAACCCAACATCACAGGGCTTTGGTCCCCAGCTTTCTCTGCTGTGTTTTTTCCTAGGGGTTAATGGATTGTTGTTGTACCCTCACTGAGTGATTCCCTCCCATGAACTCTCCCCTCCTGCTTTACGTATGGCCTAGCATCTCCCTCACGTTCTGCACAGCAGTTTATGCACGGGTGTATCGTGACTTCTGAATAACAACTCCAGCAGCTTGTTTTCTCATGTTCATGGTTTGCTCTGGGGACTCTTGCGTGACCTGGCTACTGGGTCAGAGTACCCAGGAAGCTTCTGACTCAGCAGAGGTCCCCAGAAAAAGCTTGGGGCCGTTTGCAGCTCCCTGGCATCTCTCTGTACCACCCAGCAGTGGGCCAGAAGAGCGGCTGCGCTCCCAGGACTTGGGAGACCTTGTCCGAGTGTCGTTATTGTCACCGAGGCTCACGCTGTGGGATTGGGCAGTACAGACTGCCTGGTCTGGCAGTGCCAGCAGTGGCACGAGATGCCTCGTGGCTCCATGCATTCACAGCTTGGCCGGCATCCTGCACGGCCTGTTGCCCATGGCAGATGAGAACCACCAGGAATCCTTGCTGCTCACTGCCTTTGTGGGCTGCTCCGGAGAGGAGCTGGGGGGACTTGCCCCTCTGACTACGTTTCTAAATCATCTGCGTTTCAGCAGAGTTTGTGGATTCGTTGGGCTCCAGACATCTCTCCAGAGCATCATGCATGGAGCCAGAAGCTTTGTAGGCAGTGGGGCTCCTCTGCTGCTGCTTCTTGGAAGCAAAGCCAGGCTTTCCCGAGTGACACGAAGACTAACCCAAGTACAAAAATTCTCTTACC